TTTTGTTTATACCGTGCACCGTCGCAAACTCGAACCATTATTTTTCAATTTTGCATGCTCGCGCTTTGTCATCCGCCATTTTCAATAAATTTATTTTGCAACATTGAAATAAATTGATTCTTAAAGTAGAGATTTTTAGCTTCATTTCCATATTTTATAGAACTTTCTATCTTTATTATTTACGAAGTTATCGTCAGTTGAAATTTGATGAATTTTTCCCACATTTTCAGTGTACCGCTTTTTTTTCGGGTGAGTGTAGATAATTAATATTTTATTATTGTATATAGTTTAAAAATATATTAAAATATACATTATTTTTATATTTTAAATAAAATTGTAAGGGAAATATGAACTACTATTCCATCAGTTATGCATTATTTACATGCATGACATATTAGATATATATTATATTGTTATGTATAGATGTAACCTTTTATAGTTTATGTTGATTATTATTTGTTGTGCTTTATTTCATATAAATTGTGTGTTATATTAAAATTCAATTGCTATGTGTGTTGTATTGAAATATATGTTTTATTTTAAATGAAATTATGTTATGCATTATGGCAACAGAAATTGTTAACGAATTACGGTAGTTGTCATTATTATCGTTCATGAAACAAAGAATAGCGTTACCGTGTGGATATGCGCATAAGTTTTTCAGTTGTGTTGTAATTCGACCGCCATTCTGTATAGACTGATTATCTCTTTCCGGATAGTTTTCTTTAATAAATCGTCTTCGATTTCTCAGTTTAATAAACGAGTCTTTATTTTGTCAAAGTATTTTTAAAGCTTTAACTACCACATCTTAACAGTTTAAGATTAAATCTTCATTGAATCATGAAACAATGGTAGCATATACTATTACTATTATATTTATATTATATACTTTATTATTATTATTATGAAGTTATCTTTTAAGTAGAATAAAAATGTAAAACAGATCTAATTTGTTATCTCTGATCTAATTTCTGATTTCTACATTTTAGAATGACACGGATTTAGCAGCTATGCTTGGGCAAACGTCTCTTGATGGTGAAACCAGTGAAATAGTGCTGCCATTTATGCAAGGAATGATGGAACATCTTTTGTCGAAAGAAATTCTTTATCCATCATTGAAAGAATTATCAGACAAATATCCAGCATGGTTAGAAGAAAACAAGGCAACGCTGAATTCTTCTGATCTTCAAAGATACACAAAACAATTGGAATTAATGCAAAAGGTATGTTAATTAGAGATTTGAGAGATTAAATTAAATATCCCAGAAACTCTATGAAAAAAATTTTATATAAATTCTGTTATTTGAATTTCTAGTTGTCACATTGGCTTTACTGAATTCTATAATTACAACTATGAAATGAAATTCAGGGCTCTAAAACACTTTAAGTATACAATTTTTTTGTTAATTTTTTTTGTAGAAATAATTTTTGAATATAAAATGTTTCTCTTTTTTCTTAGAGGTTAAATGTTAAATTATTTTGTTCTATGCATTGTAAGTTTGAAGATAATTTAGGAAAATAACTTATTGCATTTATAAATTTTAATTGAAATAGCAGCTGTAAGTTTACAGTAATTAAGATCTCTATAAGTCTTTATATTAGAAAGATTTAAAAAAATACAATATCAAACACTAAATTAGTGATAAAATAAATAATAATCTAGAATATTTTAAGGTATGTATTGAATTGGAAAAAGAGAAGGAAGATGATGCTGAAGATATAAAAAAACATCGATTTGAATATATACTGAAGCTTATGACAGAAATGCAAAATTATGGTCAAGCACCGGAAGATCTTATTAGCGAGCAGTGTTCGCTTTTTCAATTCGATTCTGAAGGAAATCCTATTCTTCCCTTACCATCAGGAATTGATTCACAACAGGATTGCTGCATTATGTGAATAAATGTGCAGTTATTTGAATATTTCTAGAATATTATGTTGTTTTAACAATTTCACAATTTTATTTCAGAAATATTTTAGCAAGTTTAGCTATTAACTTTTCTGTGATAAAGTTTACTAATATGCGAATACATATGCAAGATATATTATAAAACTATCTGCTCTTAACTTGAACAATGTTGGGTTATTTGGAACTTAATACATTACATGTGTGTGTGTGCATATATATTTGCATTTTGTGGTAAATTTTATCTGTATATTATGAATAAAATTTATATATAATTAAAAATTATTTACTAAGATATAATATGAAAAATTACAAATTTTCTATCATAGCTTGCTTTCTATCAAGTTATTGTAAAAAAAATCAAATTTTTGTTTATATTTATGCATGTATGTAAGTAATGATTGTAGCTAATATTATTCTTTATTGATTATATGGTAATTAAGTTGGAAATACTTTGTAATATTGATAATATTAATTATAATAAAACAGTGTACTTACAGTTTGATGTGTACAATTACAATTGGTCTTTTCTTTTATTTTTTTATTTGGTTCTACTTGATTAGGTTCTACTTGTCGCTTTTTACTGTTTATACTTTATTTTCTATTAGATGGAAAATCTAAAAACTTAATATTGTATTATATACAATATTAAATTTGGTTAATGTTGTATTTATACGCTAATTTTATTAACCATTTTTCGATATAAATAATATACCGAAAATTAATTACATATATATTATGAAGAAATTTATCACGCAGTAATATTCCACATAATTATTTCCATTAATTTTTTACTTACAATTAGTAGAGAACATTAAAATACCAACGTATATCTTCGTCAAAAAATGCATAAACAAGATTTCCTATAATTCCTATAATTAAGGTATTATATCTTCCCTTCTTCCCTTCTCTGTATCCCTTTTCTTCTCCCTTCTAATCATCTCTGGATTTTATTTCCAATACCATAATCCAAAATTGTTGATGTGGACATTATAGAAATCAATTTTAGAATTATTTAATATTTTAACTTATATTTTTATTATATATTTTTTAAATTTGTTCAACCTTATGAATATTAAAGCATACTTGCTAAACTCTATAATGGATATTATAGCATATTCATTGAGCTAAAATACGACGTATAATCGAAATAATTTTTTGTCCCACTAAAACTCTATCTTAAACTTTTAATTTAAAAAGAAAAAAAACAAACAGATTCAAAGAAACAATATAAACGAATTAAGCATATACAGGATGTTCCAGAGATATGGAAACGCTTAAATAACTTTTGTGAAAATAAAAATATCGAAAAACGGCAAAACCTGGGGCTTCGATTTTACAAAAGTACTATCTTCTGGCGTAGCTGCAGATGATCCATCACTTCTTTGGGGCGGGGGGCAGGAGGGAGGCAGAAAATCTTAAATGGCACTATGGGTCGAGTGGGGGCTCATTTAAAAGGGGTTTTCGAGACGAAAACAACGAGAGGTTACAGAGGTCTCTACGATTTTTTTTCGCAGAATTATGAGCATTTAAAAATTGACTTTGAAATTAACCGCCGGCGTTAGCATTACCCAAGATGTACCGCGTGGAGGTTGCACGGTCGGAATTTACATTTCTTTGGGGTACTTGATTAAAGTGAGTCCCCTTGCCTCTCACTTGAGTGCGTGCGTGCGTGCGTGCATGCATGATTGTAAAACATTTCAGCAAATTTACAAAAATAACAAAAAATAAAGTATGTAATTTTCCAAAATTGATTTTCTCGACTTTTGTTATTAATAACATATTAATATTATTACATTTTCTTTATTTAAATTTGTTAAATTTTTCTACAGTGTAATCTTATGCGGATCTTTACTAGAAAACAGAAGATCTTTTCTTTTGCAAATCTGTGTAAACGAAATGCTTTTATACTGTCATTGTAGTCAAGAAATTTAATCAAATAATTTTTATGTTTACAATGTGGTTTATGAAATTAAGAAGCATTTAATAGATTCGAAAATACTATCCTGCATTTTCTATAAAAGATAATAATTAAATATGTTGCGCAGAAGTGAGCTTCTGAAAAATTAACTTTTGCAGTACTTCAAAGCAAAATGTATCTGTGTAAACATTGAAGGAAAAATAACACAGATAATTTTTATATTGCAAAAATGTTATATATTTCGAAACTTACAATAATTGTAAACATTTTTAATTGCATAAGATTAAAGAAATACAAGAGGAAATAGAAACAAATTTATTTTAAATTACAAATTAAATTACGTACAGAAATAAATTTAATATTTTTTGTAGTGTAACATTTTTCCAAAACAATTTCTTTAAGAGTGTACTGCATATTAGCATAATATAATTAAATAAAACAAAATTTTGCTATATAATTATTTTGTTGTATGTATTTTATAAAAATGCAAATTTTTATCATATTATGACATGTCATTTTTCCAAGTTTATACTTAATATTATTCTTGAATTATGAATTTAAATTATTACACGCGCGCGCGTTATCTAAATATGTGTCATTTCTATGTACAAAACTCATGTGCCGAAAACTAAATTAACATGCAAATAATTATAACATTAGGTGAATAGATAAAAAATTTTTAAATATGCATTATATAAAAGTAATAAAATGACACAATTTTTTAAATGTTTGTAATACTTTAAAGCAGCGCTCGGAATTAGTTGCACATTTCGGGCCGATTCCCGAGACGTCTCCTGTTCCCCCACTACCGCTCGACCGCTAGCGGTCGAGCCGCCGATAGCTCTGGCGCAGGAGCGTTTTATATAAGAAATAGGCTGGGTTGTTGAGGCACCTTTCAGAAAATAGTAATATTTTCTTTGCTACATAAATAATGTTTATTTTCATTAATAATTAAATATATATATATTATGTATTAATAAAAATAAACATTATTTATGTAGTGAAGAAAATGTTACAATTTCCCGAAAGATGCCTAAA